CCTGATCATGTTCCCTCTGCCCATGGATTGCTTGGTGGGGGAGGGTTATCGCAAAGTGGTCGCCATTGTTGAAGGAGTTCGGTTTTGGGCGGAGCGAAAGAAGACAAAGGCAAGTTAATGACTCAACTGCTGGACAAGCACATACAAGTGCCATACAAAGAATCTTTTGCAGCGCAGGTGGAGGGCGTTCTGGAAGCTACGCGCCAAGAATCAGGATCAGCAAATCCAAGTATCCTCCGATGATAGTCATCTTTCCTTCCGATTGGCGTATCGTCCACCCAAGAGTTTTGTTCCAATCATGAACAATCCCAATGCTGGCAGCACACAAGGAATTAATTAATGAGGTTGTTTGATATCAGTGATACATATTGATATGCCAGTTTTCTTGTAAAACCTGCTCACCTAGAAAAGCTCTGTTCTTGAAGACCTTCTTCTTGATGGAGTATGATAGTCAAGAAGCAAAGCTGGACGAATTGCGGAACAGATGAATCACCCATCAAGGCGTGCGTCTTCGTATCCCATGTGGTTTAGCACCAAAGCTCCACTCGCTTGGATCCAACATGGAGCCTTACTGACCCTTGGCGTACTCTCTCAGTCGAACATGCTGGTAAGTTCATCCCTAAGGTCCTGTTGGGAAGTGGTAGGTCGCCACCATGCTGCCTGTAAGTTTTCCGTGGGCGCAGGCGACGCAAAGCTGCTACGAAACCACCGGGCCGCAGTCTTAGCCAGCGCCCGAAACGCGAGAAACATCAACCCTCAGATCCCGTGAAGTAGTTCGGGCAAAGAAGGCCGTGAAGCCGTGCGGGTTGGCTCCGCAGGTAGTATAAACACCAGTTGACCTGTTTCAGCGTTGGTGTCTTCCTCTTTCTTTCTTTTTTTTGGGGGGGGTTGGGGGGGCGGAAACGTGTTAGCCTTGTCTGGCTTCTGACCAAGTGCTTCTTTTTGTGTCCTTTGCAAGGGTCCCAAGTTACACATTCTTGGAGACACCCTAGCAGCCATGTTTGGCTCTGAGGTGCTCTTGGCTGACGGCGGATTGGAGTGACTGCAGCAACAGTTGTGGACAAGGCATAAGACAGCGGGGAGCCCCAAAGCCGGTGGAGTGAGCGTCAGTCCAAGGGAACCGTGAACAAGTCGACCAAGTTGGCCCTGGCCCTGATTTGTGGGTTCCGCATCCCCAAAATGGAGGATCCGGACCCATCCATTCCCTCACAAGGCCTTATATATCCTTAAGATGCTTTTCTTTACAAACAACATGGGGGGGCATTGTACACAGGGGGTTGGGCTGTTCGTTGGGATGGTCCACTTCAGGCGGACCGTCACCTGCTCCTCCGGCGCTGATGCGGACTGCGCTGGTCTGGACCGCCCCGCTGGTAGCGAGGCCTGCTATGCCACCGGCGGCTGTGCCTGGCAGAGTTCCGAGTGGCAGAGCTGCAGCGAGTCCTGCGGCCAGGGCCTCCGCACCCGGCAGGCACGCAGGGGGGAACGCTCCAAGATATGACAGAGAGACAGCAAAGACGTAACAGAGACACAACAGAGACGCGACAGAGACACAGATATATCGATTCACAAGAGACACTGAGAAGACGCACCCTGACACGCGCACGCACAGACACACACCCACGCACGCACGCACGTGCGCGCGCACAGACCCAGACGCAGGCACAGACACCGACACAGAAAGACATGCACCCACACAGACACGGACTCACGGACACCGACACAGCCACAAACACTCCGGGTGGCTTAACAGTATCAAACAAACTGTGTCAAAGGTAATGCGAAATAGCGCAAGTGATGCAGGTTGCACCATGTTGCGTCGCACACGCGGAGCTGCAACACGCCGCATCAAATAGAGGAGTAAGACATTTTGTGCACAATCAGGTGCGCTGCATCAACCTGTTGCATTTTGCCCAACATTGCCGCAAACTGTCGCAGGCATTCTACCCTTTGGTTGATACCGTCTAGCCACCCTCTAGACACAGACACGGATGGAAACAAGTAAGTTTCTCCAGGGCTCGTATGCGGTTTTTGAGTAGCAATGGGTTCAATTAGAGCCTGGCCTTCCCGGATAGATTTGTTCATAATGGTTCTTTCAGTTTTGGGTAAGAACCATCAAGACTCGGATGGGCCCAACCAGTTGAAACAGCTCCGAAGCATTTTGCTTTCGATCCCCATGTTTGAGTGTTTGGTGATGTTCACATAGTTGTCAAAGGCCTTCTCGGTCGAACGTGCCTCGGACACTTTGTAATGGCTGCTTTGCCGCCCCAACGCTAATCTCTCGCCATTTGTTTACACAAATTGAGCCCGCCAATGTAACACAATCATTTGGGATGGGGGGGCCCTGTTTGGTTTGTGGCAACATGAGCAGCCCAGAAACAGCTTGCTCGGACTGAACAATATCCCACTCTGAAGTAAGACTGTTGGACAGCTGTAGCTGAATGTCCGGTTAAACATTGCCTTTCAGTGCATTGATTTCCTTGCATGCAAGGACATTTATAAGCCTTCCGGTTCAACTATAGTTCGTGACCACGGGTAATAATATTTGTTGTCCAGGGTTGGGTGACAAGCATGTGTCAGTGCGAAGGAAGAATCTTTATGGGAAGACTCATTATGATGCTTATGGAGGTGCCGGGCAAAACTTTGCGGCGCTTGGCTTCCCATCGGCATGACCAGAGTAGGAGGCATCAGTCAGGTTCGCTCAACGTTTGTGTTTGCGAGCGGGGGCCGAGATGCCAAAACAAAGCACTGTGTTACATACATTGTTGGGACCATCCTGCCTTGTTTCCAACGCGCAGTCTCTGACTGTGCGTTGGAGAATGCTATCAAATTGTGGCTGAACCAGTTCAACCTCACTATTGGGGCAAACACCTAGGCCTTTTGACCATTCTGGTGGGTGAGGAGGGCCTCATTGGGCCTAATTGTCAGCCCCTCCCCGGGTTGGACCCTGCAAGCTTAGGGACGTGTAGCACCTGTGCTGAACGGTTTTAGCTGCCCAGACTTTTGGCCAGGTGGTTGACCAAAAGCAGGGAGAGGGGGTGGCAGGGCAAGGAAATCATGTCCACCTTTGCAGGTGTGGTGCCCGTCTTTCGTTGACACGGACTGTCCAGGCGTGCCTCACGTTTGTGTTGCTTCATTTGTTTTTGTTTTCCGAGCTCGTGGTTCGAGGCAAGCAGCCGGTCTGGGCACTACCTCACACTGCTTGTGTTTGCAACCACCCATGCTGAAGGTCCCTTTCATGGGGAACCTGATTGGCAAATGATTCGTATTCACCCATGCCAAAAGCCTCTTGCTTGGCAGATACCTGGTATCACTTGGCGCAGTGTGTTTGCAGATTGTGACTGGATGGTGTTGAAAGGAAACCATGTGAAAGCAAGCCAACTTCGACATGCTCCCTACTTGTAATGTACTTGCCAGATTGCATTGATTGTCATGCTTCCTACGTGATTCGGTGCAAGCCGACTTCTTTAGGACATCAGGCTGTTGCGCTGCAGGGACGCACCACGGAACCAATGCTTACGATTTGGCTCATTGTGGTGATGCACCTGGGATTTGACTTAGTGAACACGGGGGGGAGGTCTTCATCAAACGATTTTGTGCCACCACCTGGCAGGTGGCCACCAGCAATCCCTCCCCGTGTGTTCGGAGGGTAGTCCCTTGATCCCAAGGTGGCCACACGCCCCATGCGACAAACATCTTTCATTTCGGAGTTCCAATCTTGGCCGATGGCCCTTTCTTGTTTAGCTATCCAGGTGCGATGACTTGCTGTCAGGCCATTTTGAAGATGTTATACAAGACAGCAAGGATATGTCAGACGCTAAACCAGATTGCCCAAAGCCCCAGGTGGGCCCAAGGCAAGGCCAAGAGGGCGTCCTTCCGGAGCTTGTCCGCCGAGTTCTAAACCAAGACCATGTCAGATGGTGGGGTCGGTTCCATGCATGACTCAGGGCGCTAGAACTTGTTTCATGAAAGTGAGATCCCAAAAGCGTGATCTGGTTTTGTGGAGTGGTTGCCCCACAGCTCGAATTGATCCAGCCACAACCACAGGGACCTCCTTGTTCGCTGCTGGAAAGAACATGCGTCCTAGGCTGAGGCAAATCTCCAAACCATAGACCCCTTTGTACAATTGGTAGGAGTGCCCAATTGACTGGGGCATTGATGGGATACACCCTTAGTATACGATCCCAGGACACAGCTACAACCAAGAGGCAGCTGGAGGATTTCTCGAGGTCCATCCAGTGACGGTTCCTTTGCTGTTTGCAGATCGCAGGCGAGGTCCCTGCGAGATCTGACCTGTGCTACAACACCAGCACTTGCCTCCTGGCCCGATCTCTTGAAGGTCAACTAGCAACAGTAGCCTTTGGAGGTGATGGCATCGTGTTGTTCCAATCAGCCGCTAACTGCCAATGGTTGAGGCTATCTTCTTTGTTGGCTTCCCTTGTCCATGCTCCAAGCCACTAGGTGCATATGCTGCGCTGTGCATTCAATTCAAGGTAGGATTGAACGGGATCAAACGGTGTTTCAGAATGGTGCTGCTTGTTGACTTGTGGTCTCAAAGGGGGTAAACCTGTTTCAAGATCCAACTCGGGAATCTCCTGGGACCGCCTAAAAAAGACGCGAGCCCGACACTCGGTGTAGTTGACCGGAAGTACGGAAAAGCCTGCGTTTGATTGTCTAAAGTGGGAATACACAGGACAGGTTTCGATGCACGTAGACATATCATATCAAGCCTCACATGCTAGCATGAGAGTCGATAAGCCCTCATCAGCAGTCCGATAGATGCAGAGGGGGTGTTGCTGCACGTATCGATGCTTATAAGCCGCGTTCTCCAGGGTGGTCATTAGGAGAGGTGGTGTGCGAAAACTTAGCCCTGACATGTAGAGAGAGGGAGAGGGAGAGGGAGAGGGAGAGCGCCAGAGAGAGGGAGAGAAAAAAGAGAGAGGAAGAGAGAGTGTGGGAGTCCCCAGTCACAGCAGCCACATTGTCACGCTGAGGCACGTGGCATGCTGGCGCGTGGTCTGACTGCAGCAGCGATTGTGGGGATGGTCTTGAGGCCTGGTCCCGTTCACGGCAAGTGATGGGCGGTTCGCTCGATAGTCGAACACGCTTTGGATGCGCCTTCTTCTGGTCAGGTACTATTTTAGTTCTCCCCTTTGAGTACCAGATCCAAAGAGTATTCTGGCGCCCCCTTGCAACCCGCAACCCGTTGGTTTGCTCTGCGTGTTGAAGCCATCCAAAAGGAGGTGCCCCATTGTATTACAAACTTGATTCAGTTGACCAAAGCGAATCCGCTGGATCTGACCTTTGGCCTTTGGTGTATTATGAGTAGTGGGGCCCAAATGGTTGGCCTTTGTGTTTCGTTTGAATATTTTGAAGCAACCCTTATTGTGGCTGCTTGAAAGACACAATGGAAACCACTTCATTCCT